CTAGGCCTTCTTCAAATTATAAACAGTCTTAGGCCTGCTTCAAATGTATAAATGGTCCTAGGCCTGCTTCAAATAATAAACAGTCCTAGGCCTGCTTCAAATACCTAAACAGTCCTAGGACTCGTTCAAATAATAAACTGTACTAGGCCTGCTTCAAATGCCTAAACAGTCCTAGGCCTGCTTCAAATACCTAAACAGTCCTAGGACTCATTCAAATAATAAACAGTCCTAGGCCTTCTTCAAATAATAAACAGTGCTAGGCCTGCTTCAAATGCCTAAGCAGTCCTAGATCTGCTTCAAATAATGAACAGTCCTAGGCCTGCTTCAAATAATAAACAGTCCTAGGCCTGCTTCAAATTATAAACAGTCCTAGGCCTGCTCCAAATACCTAAACAGTTCTAGACCTGCTTCAAATTCCTAAACAGTCCTAGACCTGCTTCAAATTAAACAGTTCTAGGCCTGCTTCAAATACCTAAACAGTCCTACGCCTGCTTCAAATAATAAACAGTCCTAGGCTGAAACTCTTTGGGTGCTTCTCCCACATCATAGTGATTTGAATTGAGTTGAAAGCACAGGATAAATCAAAGAACAGCATCCTTTTGAGACTAAACCTTATTCAATATTTCCCGTGACAACCTCAGCTCTTTTAATTTCAGGTTCCAGCTGAGCATAGAGTGTGTAGATGTTCTGAGTATCAGATCGATGTCTGGTTTTAATAACGAAGGACGGGCATCAAATCCACCGTAAATCTAAGAGGAAGCTGTATCTATGCATTGGTTTCAGGTCCCAGGCTCTGGCGGGTTCACCGGCTGCGTCAGGGACCTGAAAGTGAACGAGGTGCCCGCCGGAAACCCGTCCCACAGCCAGGGCACGGTGCCCTGCTTCCACAGCCCCCTGCTGCCCGGGGCCTACTTCTCTGGACGCGGAGGCCACATGGCCATAGGTAGATGCAGAACGCTTTCAGAGCATCACATGACCTTCTCGGTGGAGCCCTACTGTACTGTGCCTCAGGTTTCCTCAGGTTTCAGGACTGGCTATGAATCTTTACAGACAGTCGTTTGAAAGGAAAATGAAAAGAAAAGATCCAAGGATGTTATAGAGGCACAAAATGAGCTGCGCAATTCATTTTTGATTTTGTAATACTTTTTAGTACTCATAGGTTCTACTTTCAGTCACTGGTATGGTCTTTAAGAGTACTTCTTATCTAGCAGTGAACTTAGATTTATGAGGCAGTTTGATAATAGATCTACACTTTTCTGTCATAGACAGAGTAGAATATTCTCAAGTGAGGTCAAATGACGAAGCAGGAAGCTGATCTTTCCATGGAAATTGAAAAGAAGAAAAGATGAAGAGCGTTTTGGAGCGGGGCTACCCTCTGTTTCTCTCTACCCCCACAGATGAGTTGCTGGTCCTGGGTCAGGACCTGGAGATCACGCTGGAGGTTCGGCCCGTCTCAGACTCGGGGCTGCTGTTGCATGCTGGGACGTCAGAGAACCAACACCTGAGTTTATTCCTCCATCAGGGAGAGGTGAGAGTTCTGTAATAAACAACAAATACACAATTATATGCATCAAATCTCATATTTGGTGAAAAGAAAAAGTGTATAAAAAAAAAAAAAAAAAAAGAAAAAAAAAAAATATATACATATATATATATTTATATATATTTTTATATATATCGTATAGAGAGAAAAAGAGAGAGAGAGCGAGTCATAAATTATTTATCATTAATATACGGTATAAATAATAATTTATAAATATGATAGACAATTTAGAAATTTGGAATGAATTAAGGAGATTAAAGTCCTTAATTTTCAAATATGGTGTGAATAAATTCCAAGAATAAAGTCGTAAATATTTACATTTATGCATTTAGCAAACGCAATTATCTAAAGCCACTAACAAAAATAACACGTCCAATTGTATCCTGTTTTAGACGACCAGAGTTGATTAATCTTGAAATTAATTTAAAAATAAAATGTATTGACGACTTCAATCTCGGATTTATTTATTTTTTAAGTTTTTAAATGTGGCACTAATACTATGTCGTAATATTTATGTATGATATATAAATAACAAACATAAATGAATATTATATATGTGTATACATATTTTTATTGTGCATTTTTGTACGTTTAAGCTGAAAATTACGTGTGTTTGCAGGTGATTGTTTCAGTAAACAGTGGCAAAGGGGAATTCTCTACCTCATTCACTCCCGACCAGCCCCTGTGCAACGGAGACTGGCACACAATCACAGGTGGGTCCTGCAGAGATAGCCCCAGACGCTTTTGTCTGGTTTCCCCTCCGTAACGCCGCCATGTTTCCGCAGTGGTGAGGAAGAACAACGTCCTGCAGCTGCTGCTGGACGGAGCCAGCCGGCACAGCGTCGGCCCCAAACATGGCCGCCCCGCAGAGACCACCGCCACCGTCCACCTGGGGGGGGCGCCCGGTGAGCAACAGGGATCATCTGGCCCTTTTTACCGGTTCCATTTTGTCACAGTTCAGACTATACAGGGGCAGGAAACAAGGGATATAAAATGGATTTTTATGTAGGAAAATAAATAAAATGAAATAAATAAAATAAATGTCAATTATGGTTATAGATTAGTTGATTAGTCATAATCTTGGGGTAACTAACATAGTACTCTTAAATGAAATTGTAAGAATGCCCAAAAAAGGGATATTCATACATAACACAATTCCATATGTGTGTGTATATATACAAAATACAAAATATATTATACTTGCTACAGGATGGTGGGTGACCCATATAGATAGATGTCTAGATAGATAGATGTCTAGATAGATGTCTAGATAGATGTCTTGATAGAGATAGATGTCTAGATAGATGTCTAGATAGAGATCGATGTCAAGACAGATGTCTCCACAGATAGATAGATGTCTCGATAGATGTCTAGATAGATGGATGTCTAGATAGATGTCTAAATAGATAGATGTCTAGATAGATAGATAGATGTCTCGATAGATTTCCAGATAGATGTCTAGATAGATGTCTAGATAGATAGATTTCCAGATAGATTTCCAGATAGATTTCCAAATAGATGTCTACATAGATGTCTAGATAGATGTCTAGATAGATGTCTAGATAGATGTCTAGTTCGATAGATGACTAGATAGAGAGATGTCTAGATAGATAGATGTCTAGATAGATGTCTGGAGTCTGGATCGATAGATGTATAGATAGATAGATGTATAGATAGATGTATAGATAGATAGATAGATAGATAGATAGATAGATAGATAGATAGATAGATAGATAGATAGATAGATGGACCAGTTTTCTTTGTTTCCCTTGTGCCTTTAGATGTTACAACTCTCCTTCTGTCCCCCTTCTGTTCTTTGTTCTTTTTTTCTAACCACAAGATGGCGTCAAAGTGCCCGGTCTCCCCGAGGGGCTTCTGGCGTTCCAGGGATGCGTCCGCCGAGCGTCCATCAACCACCGGCCGGCCATGTTGTCCAGGCCCCTGTCCGTTCACGGTGGCGTGGGGACTCAGGGCTGCCCGCGCGTATAGGCCCTCCACAACCCCGCGAAACACTGGTGGTGGGCATCTGGTTACTGTAGCTAATTTAAAAAGCGTTGATATTTATTCTCTTTTCTTTCATGCGTATTTTGTATTGTCAGATTTGTTGTCGTTATTCGAGACGGTCGCTGGTGTGCCACAGGGCACTGCATCAGAAACCGCCTGCACTGATACGAGATATTAGAAGTGTCTTAAAATAAAAGCTGGCAAAATAAAAGCTGGCATCAGTTCTCATATGTGTGGAGTTTATGGAAAAATGTAAATATTGGCATGATGGCTAGATTTTTCTAACCTTTCCAAACAAATATGAGAAACTAAATTTAAGTTTAACATAAAAAATATCTACATATATATAATATACATATCTATCTCTATATATATAGATATATATAAAATATAATACATATCTATATATATACATACCTGTGTACCAGGCATTTTTATTTTTTATCAGGCATTTTTATCTCAGAATGTGAAATAATACTCCTAAGTTGCTCAACTGTGCAAAGCAACACTTTTCACAGGGACTCAGAGGGAGGACTGAACATAATAAAGTTTTACAAAAGCAAATAAATAAAACAAAAGGGGTTCTGAAGATAGATGTGGTTGGTTTCCCGTGTCATTTAGACATCCACCTCCATAAACCTCTGTAATTAATATGGGCTGACGAGTTGAAATGTTAAAAAGCTGTAATATGAGATGGGTTTTTTGTTTTTTTCCTCTATCCTTCTCTTCAATCAGCAGTCCTATCCATGGAGACTGTGTGATCTGTCAGCAGATGAATGCAGCTGTTTAAACATCTGTTTGACTCTTTTTAAACGCCCCCAACCCCTAACTAAAATGACTCAAATGTGCACAAAAGCAGAAACTTTGCAGGTTGTATGTGATATGAATTAGGTCTATTTTTTCACCTGTGGTAAAAGAGTTCATAAAATCAGAAATATGTGTTATGTTTATTCATTTTAAATGGTCCACCCCCCCTCACACAACCAGATCGGACTTAAAACGGCTGGTTTCCCCATTTCCCTGTATGACCTGAACACTCGTTCTTCTGTCCACGTCACAGGAAACACTTGTTGTGTTTGTATTTAATCGTTTCCACCATTAAACAAAATGTGTTCCAATAAAGTTTTTTATTTTTATTTTATTCCAACTGATTGATTGAGCTTTGGTCAAGAAAAAAAACTAAACAAGATGGCGAGTCAAGTAATGATTTTTATTATGAATAGTAAATCTCAAAAAGCCTCGAGCTATCAGCCAATCTGAGGCAACGGCAGTCTGCACTGTTACGACAAAAAGAAAAAGAAAAGACAAATGCGGCCCTCTGCTAAAGGGCCAAAAGAACAGAAGGAGCTGGTCAACACACCCAGACGTGGTGGTCACAGTGAAGGCTTGCTGTGTTATTACTTAAGCGTTTGTCCTGAGTAGAAATGCCTCTGTGGGAAACCATGGCAACACCTCAGTCCAGACTCATGTCCTCATCGTCCTCCTTCTTCTCCTTGGAGTCCCCCTTGCTGCCCTGCATGGCTCGAGCAAAGGCCTCCACATCTGAATGGGGAGAAACATCCAGAATCAGAGTCCGTGCGCGTGTTTCCGTGAGCGTCTGGCGTGTGTGTGTGTGTGTGTGTGTGTGTGTGGCGGTCCTACCTCCTTTGTTGGCGGCCTCCACGGCCTCTGCCGGCAGACCGAACTGGCTCATGAGCGGCCCGAGCTGCCCCGAGGCCAGGGCACTGCTGAACATGCTCATGGACTAAAGACAAGAGCAACGGGTCAATTCGCCTGAATACCCCCCAGCCTCACCGATGGACTGATAAACCTGGTTTTCTCTTTCCATCATAAGGTTCTGAGCACAATAATCCTCCACTTTTGGATTATAGAATTAAAGGCGGGTCACTTCCTTTGAACAGCGAGCAAAAGTGGTGCAAAACCATCTAAAAACATGCATTTTATTACTTTTTTTTGTTGCTTTCTCCTATTTGAAGCGTAGTTTCGTAGCTGCTTTGATCATAATCCTGAGACAAAGCTACATATTTGAGCTAAAAAGGATGAGGAGGCCCTCCCACCTGCTGGAACTGAGGGGAGGTGAGTGTGTTCTGGATCTCATCAGCGCTCTGCGGCAGGCTCTCTCCGCTGGGCAGGAAGGGGAGGAGCCTCTGCTGGATCTCAGCGTTGCTCAGGATGGGGGCCATCATCTCAGGGGTGCAGACGCTGGCCAGGTCCACTGAATAAAAATGGAGGTTTCCAGTCAGACCTTTCTGTTTAAGGGTTACCGGGTGAGCTGATTGCAACCCGCTCACCTGCTGCTCCCTGACCACCTGCCGTCGCCGGGACGTTCATGGTGGCCAGAATATTCTGGAGGTCACTGAGCTGGATGGGCTGGTGGGAGGTGGGGCTGCCGACGGAGGTGGGGGCCGTCGGCGTCTGAGCCGAGGCTGCTAACGAGAAAAACAAACAGGAGACGAGACTCGACCACTGCTTATTTTCACTTTTGCGACATAGAAACCACCAGGGTGTCGATTTAAAAATGGAAATTTGAGTCAAATAGAATAATTCCACCCCGTGAATGATTCCTTTATCTTGGCACGCAGTGTTACCTGGTGTGGAGGGGGCCGCCCCCGTGGAGGCGGGAACCACAGCAGCAGGAGTTGCAGGGGTGCTGGGGGCCTGAGTGGCACTCAGCCTGGGGGCCCCAGCGGATGAGGGGGTGGCTGCAGTGGACTGGCTACGAGAGCTGAGAGAAAACAAAAACAACAAATGTTAGCTTTTGATTGTCAGTATCAGAGATGACTGATGTCTGCTAATTACACATAAAGGGATGGTGTCACTCGTCCATGTAGCGGTCAGGCTAACCTGGATGAAGAGCTGCTGGTGGCTGGACCTCCACTGCCCAGCAAGTTGGCAAGTCCTGGTCCCGCCAGAGCTCCCAGCCCTCCTTAGAAAAAGATTGAAAAATTATATTATTTTCATACATCCCTAGATAGATGTCTAGATAAATAGATGTCTAGATTAGGGTTGTCAAAAGTATCGATACTTAAAAAAGTATCGATACTAAAATGTTGTATCCGGATACGATACTCATTTTCAAAAGTATCGATACCACCGCGCGAGCCCGCACAAGCGCGCGCGCAACGCTGACCTGCCGTCGCTGCGCTCCTTCTTTCGGATTTATTTATGTATTTATTTACGTTGTTTATGATCATTAACGTGACGTTAGCCTTGAACTGCTAGCTGCGGCTAATGGCTAATAATAACATGCTACCATTAATCAAGTACATATCCGTCTCAGCCCACATCCAAATCGGCCATTTTGATTACGTCACCAAAAGGAAAACCCCAGGCAAGAAAATAGTAATGCATCATGGCAATATAGACATTAATTTAAAAATAATTAAATTAATCTTTCAAACACTTAATTAAACTCTATCCATAATATTATGTTAAAATAGTGGATGTTAAATAGGTTTGTACAATAAGTCCAAACAAGTTTAACCCCAAAATTGTTTCTCACAATTATGAAGGGTGGAGGGTTAGGGTCAGGGGCAGGGTCAGGGTTAGAGTGAGGATTAGGGTCAGGATTAGGGTAATTAATTCGGGCCACCAGCCACGATAACATCAGTAACAGGTCAGTTTCAAATGAAAGACACTTACCTGTCAAAATTCAGTTAAATTTTGGGGTCTTTGTTTTTATCCTTGTGGTATCGAAAATGGTATCGAGTATCGAGTATTTTCCTGAGTATCGGTATCGAGTTGAAAATTTTAGTATCGTGACAACCCTAGTCTAGATAGATAAATAAATGTCTAGATAGTGGGATGTCTTGACAGATGTCTAGATAGATAAATGTCTAGATAGATGTCTTGATAAATGTCTAGAGAGATAAATGTCTTTATAGATAGATAAATGTCTAGATGGATAAATGTCTAGATGGATAGATAGATGTCTAGATAGATGTCTAGATAGATGTCTAGATAGATGTCTAGATAGATGTCTAGATAGATGTCTAGATAGATGTCTAGATAGATAGATAGATAGATGTCTAGATAGATGTCTAGATAGATAGATAGATAGATAGATAGATAGATAGATAGATAGATAG